TTAATGCAAATGTGTCTGTCCGCAGCTTTCCTAACAGCAGCTCTGCATCCACGCCTTGATTTGTTAAAAGCTATAAAAAAAACAAGCTTTTTTCAATGGATACAGAAACTGTAACAAAGCTTTCCATTTGGAGTTTATGTTCAATCAGAGAAAAACTGGAGTGAGATGATGACAGATTAAGTGTGTTGGGGGGGGGGGGGGAAGCATATGGCTGATGTAACAAAAAGCTGTCTGAGCCTGAACATTTAGCTCCCACTTCGACTAACTTATTGTCCTCATCAGTGTGATTGCTTTGAACAAGATGATTGCAGTAACTTTATGCATAATGTAGGAGTCGAAAGAAGAAAGTGCGAGGGGAAGCATCTGCAGGACCGGTTGTCTCTTTCACTCGGGGTGAGCTGGTAAGCATGAGTCAGCGGGTTGTCGTTCAGCATCGTGGCACTGAGCTCTCCTGACTTTGCAAAAGACGCTGAGCAGGCTTCTTCCAAATTGACTGGGTGCTAAATGAAGAGATGAAGAGTTTCTAATGAAAAAGGCCTCCCTGATGTTCTCCTGGTCTTGGTCTTGATCTGTCTTAAAGGCTTTATATGTGATTTATTTGATCCAGCAGTTGTCGCCCTTGAGCGCCAGCATGAAACCAAAACAACTCACGCTGCATTGTTGTGTTAGCATGCTAATGCTAGCGATCTTTATTATGCTCGTATCTTCACACTGCATGTAAATTTACCTGAAATGAGCGTGATCTAGAAACACAGTTAAGCAGTGAGTACAGTATGTTATTCTTCTTTTCTCTAGTCCCTCAATTAAACAACTTTTATACTCGAGGGGAGGAGTCAGCCGGCCGTCCTGGCGATGTAAACAAACTGAAGATAGGACTCTGAAAGCATCACAGACAGTGGGACAGTCATGACTCACAGAGTTATTTTCAGAGGATATACTTGATTTCTATTACATTTAAGTGTGAAAAATCTCATGTAAAGCCTTTAAGCTGAGGGCTCAGTCAGCGCACCAGTTGGCCTTTCTTCCATTAGTAGAGCAGAATCAAGGCTGGACGGGATGCCATTTTTCACCCCGTTTTTTTTCTTGATGCGTATAGCCGTGTCCTGGTCAGTGTTTACGAGTGGGAGTGTGGTCTTGTGTTTGGGGTATGAGGCATGGATTTCAGGCTCCGCGCCGGCTCTATAAAGTGAGCTGTGTGAATCTGTAAGGAGCTGGCTCGCTGCCCGGTGGTGCCCCGTCGGCCCCCGACATCTTCACTAAACGTCACACTGAAAACTTAGCACTATAACTGTGGGAGTGGAGGCCGCTGCCGCCCTGAACACACAACACAACAGATGGTGAGTGCATTAGATGCTCTTCACCGCCCCCCCCCCATATTCCCCTTTTTTCACGTCTTAAATAGCAATTGGCATCAACTCGGGCATCTGCTGAGAGCTTGAGCGAGAAACAAAATAGTTGCACGACATGTCGCTGAGTTGCTTTAATTTCTTTTGGCCCAGGTAAGCTTCAGGTTAGTTAATCAGCTTTTCCCCGAGCCTGTGTTCTCTCGAGCTCCGGCATCCCAGTGGACTTTTCTTTGTCTGCCGTCCTTGTCTTTTTGACTCTTTGACAGCCTGAAAAGTAGCAGGATTGTGAGAGAAGAATGACTCTTTTGTTTGTGCCACTTGCTGTCACTGTGGATTTGATTGTCTCAGTAGGCAACACAGGCCTAGGACACAGCCATTCACACGCACTCACACAGTCACCCCCCCCTGTGGATGGACATTCCTTTTGGCAAGGCTCCCAGATGGCGCTGCAGGTTCTCTGTGTGCTGCAGCCCCTCTGATGGAGTGATTAACTGTGTTCCTGAAAAGGCTGAGAGCGACATCATGACGGAGCATAAACGTTGGGACAACATTTTCACTGCTTTCCTTTCCTCGCAGAGCCATAAGAACTTTTCTTCTTGTGAATTGACCGTTCAACTTAATGTGAAATTCATTCAAATCTGTCTGTGTAAAAAGTGTGTGAGTAATAAAACAACAAAGACAGTTGTCAGGATTGCATTTAGAGCCAGAACTATTTAAGCCATAATATGTATATAAAAAAAAAAAACAATCAGGAAGTAGAAAACATAATAATCTGATTTATTAATTGAATTTACGTCTGGTTATTTTTCTACTTTCTTTGCAGAGCCGTTGTAGACAATGTGTTTCAATATGGTGATAAAGGGTTATTATTTGCAGTGATCCCTTTTTTAGATGACTTTAACATAAGCCATCGCTTATGTTGAAGTCATAATATGTGATTTTTCACACTTGAAATGTAGAAATCAAGTATATCCTCTGAAAATAACTCTGTGAGTCATGACTGTCTACAATGGGTGTAACACCCGAGTCCCACTGTCTGTGATGTTTTCAGAGTTTTCAGAGTCCTATCTTCACTTTGTTTACATCGCCAGGACGGCCGGCTGACTCCTCCCCTCTTGTATAAAAGTTGTTTAATTGAGGGACTAGAGAAAAGAAGAATAACATACTGTACTCACTGCTTAACTGTGTTTCTAGATCACGCTCATTTCAGGTAAATTTACATGCAGTGTGAAGATACCAGCGTAATAAAGATCGCTAGCATTAGCATGCTAGCACAACAATGCAGCGCAAGTTGTTTTGGTTTCATGCTGGTGCTCAAGGGCGACATCTGCTGGATCAAAAAAAAAATTGTATATAAAGCCTTAAAAGACTCCAGAAGCCCTGATAGTGAGCCCTACACCAGACATGGTTAGAAGGCTTTAAAGGGTAAAAAAAAGTGTGAGAAGAAACAATTTGCAGGCCAGAAAACTGGAACTCATTGGCATCAAATGTTATCAGATTGTGTGACATGCCTTCACTTTGGGAAATAGAGTCAAACAGGATAACTGTAACCAAGGGGAAGTCATTGTAAAAAAAAAAAAAAAAAAACCCTCTTGTGAATGTCCTTGTACTTTGGACTGACACCACACAGACCTTCACAAACAGCCATTTTGGCTCCCATGTGCTTAAGGATAATGAACTTGTGCTGAAATGGTAAATGCTTGAAAGGGAATAGCTTTGCAGCCACAGGCTTAGTGACAGGCTGTCGAGATTCCAGTGGAAGCCTCATTAAAGCAGTGTTTCAGTGTTTTTACGACAAAGCTTACTACCAATGTCACTTCCATTAGGGAAGAGTGAAGCGGAAGAGTCTCATCATCCGGAAGGTGACCGATTTTATCTGCACATTTTGTGTCACGTGAAGAAGCTTGAAACGCCCTGAAGGTGCGTTTTACTCCTTAGTCAAGTTTCCATGTCAATTAAATGAATCGTTCAACCCTTTGTGAATTGTTTAATTAACCTACGCACAGATTAAAATGTCACTGATGTGCTCAGATCTTTTATCATGGGTAGTTGAGCTGGAAGTAATTGAATGAGTCTTGGGAGATGACTTTTTCCCAAACAGACCTCTCACGCCTGTTGGTGGCACTCGCAGAGGAACGAAGGTCCTGACTGCACAAACAGAACTCTGCAGGACGGAGCGTGTGTTTGTTAGTCATCTCGCTTCACTGAGGGCTCGTGTGGGAAGTAACACACACACGTACTGAAGCATGTCGATTGCATGTCCCTCTGAAAGTTTGGAGTCTATAAAAGGATAATGTAGCATTTAATCCACTCTCTGCTGAGTATTGATGTGATGCTTCATGCAGAATGTTATACATCATGTTTTGTTATATCGCAGTGTGCCACGGGGCTGCTTTTAATTAGGGTTCATATTCAGGCATCAGTATTTGAGTTGCAGGGAGTGTTTCTGTGGTCTGACTTGCATGTTTAGATTTCATGATACATATTTTTTTTATCTCAGAATCAGATTTATTGGCCATGTATGCTTACACACACAAGGAATTTAACTTCAGTGAACTGTGCTCTCTTATGTACAGGTACAACATTAAATATCAACAATAAACATAATAAGAAAAAGACTAATATTTACATGACTAAATATGAAACAGTGCAGTGGTGAATAGTGCAAAAGATGCTGAAGTAACGTGATAAGTAAAATGCAGTTATGTGACAGATGGGTCAATTACAGTATTTACATAAATAAGTGTGCGTATATTGATCATTTAAATTAAATAATATATATATATATATATATACACACACATGTATATTCACAGTGACGGTTGGTTTAGAGAATCTCAATGTTGAACTTTTAGCTCGAGAGCAAAAAGGCTCGCTGAATTATACAAAACTATCTATCAGAGCTTTCACACTTTCAGAAAACTCCTGAAAAACTCCTGATATTTCCAGGAGGAGCTGTATATGTGAACGCAAACAGACACATTTTTTGTTCGGATTTCACCCCTCGTATTTCTTCTGTCAGAGTGAGCTGCTGTGAGAACACAGCAGGATATTCTCTGGAGAATTCACCTCGAGCACATAATTAAGCAGCTACATTGGTTTTCATGTTGGTCAGTGTGTTGTTCTCCACTCTTTTTTGATGTTGTCATTCCGTTGAACTACACGTACTGTTGATATAAAGGCAAATATTCTCATTATAGCGTCGTAAAGCGGACTCTGTTGCTTCGTCCGCTACTTCCGGCATGCTTTTTGTAAGTCATGTCTTACCTTAGGAGACCCCCTCCCGTCTGACAGGGATAGTCTCCAGCTGTGAGGAGCATAATGTGAACAGTCAGGTCAGGAGAATCTCCTCGAGCAGTCCTCCTGAAATGATCTAAATTATTTTTTAGACCAAAAATTGTTTTTCCTCAAATGGTTAATTTCAAATTTGGTTTAGAAATTAGACTCCATTAAATTAAGTTTACTACTTACAAATAAAGTTAAACTCTCATATCCACATGGAGGTTATCTCAACCAGTGCAACATATTGAACCTCCAGAGAAGTTCTGGGTCTCCAAAATGTTTCCATAACACAAATCTTCTCACTCATCACATCAGTCAGAAAGATGAGACTTTGGTAACTTTTGTGTCCTTTCCTTCTCTGTGTGTCCTCAGATGTGTCCTCCTGCCTCTCCTGAGCGTTAAGCCTCCTCAGCAGTCTCTCTTCCTGCTGGTGGACTCCATCGATGAAGGCTGTCAGCTGGGGGAGGGCGAGCAGAGGTCCTCTCCCGGCTCCCCCAGGACCATCGCTGAGCTCCTGGCCAGTCACCACGAGTTCCTGCCTCCCTGGCTGCTTCTGATCTGCTCGGCACGGCGACAGAACAAGGCCATCACCAAACTCTTCACAGGTAATCTGTCCAGCTTTGGCTCACACTGTCGCTCCCGTTCTTCTCTCAGTTAACCCAATTTCTCCAAATGATTTAAAGAGTCACTCGTGTTTTTTTATTTTTTATGATTCTCCTTTTTTATTTAGGAAAAGCATTCTTCACACATAATCACACATAATTACACATAAAAGCAAAATAATTGCAAGACTCCTCCCTCAACCTTTCAAACATTGGAGCACTTTCTTTGCAGAAAGAGGGGGGGTACGATGCTCACAGTATATTTAACAATTTAGCTCTTCCAAAGATTTTTTTCATATTCAAGTAACATGACATTAATTCAATTTAAATTATTTACAAAAGAACAAGGGAAGCTTTCATCTTGGAGGGGTAGAGAAAGAAAATGAAATACAGAGCAGGTTAACGGATGACAGAAAATGACAAAAATGAGGAAATAACACCCATGTACTCCAATAAGTCATGTTTGGTTTTTTAAACCTTGTTCCTATGTTGACACATCGTGGATCTTCAAATATCAAGTTGCATACATACATACATTTTGGAGGCAGTCGACTGGAGCAAATCTCAATTATTGTTTAACCTCTAAATCATGAAGACCCTAAACTCTGTCAAAGACAAGAAATGGGTTTGAAAATACCAGAATTCACCTTTAAAGTGTCATGAGTGGCATTTCTTTAAAATCAATACATCAACGTCCAAATTACTGTGATACCTTCATGGCAGTTGAGCTGAACTGATTTGGAGGGACAGTTTGATTGATGAGACAATATGTGCACTTGTCAGTACTGCTCCATGCTTGTTTCCTCTCAAAGGCAAAAAATCTTGGTTAAGACGATACATTTCACCTGATAATGCGGTTACAAACAAAGCCTGCAGCTGTTTTCTTTTGTGCCACGGCTGCTCCAACAGTACAGATGCAGAACGCTGCCTTAACATCACAACACGCCTGAAGGGATTAGGGTCAGCGTGGCAGGACCCCTTGGAAGGGTTGCAGCTCTCCCCTGATGTCCTGTGACACTGTTCCACACCAGCTGCTATTATCTCCATGTCAGGCCGGCAGCCTACTCGCTGGTGATGAGCTGGCATAACATTAATCAAGAACCTGTCTGTGTGGGAGGAAGTCTCCTCCGCAGACTGCTGTGTGTGTACCCTCTCTACCTTTTCCAAAACCACTAAACGTGGGAGCTTCTCCAGCCCTCGGCTCACCTCTTAAAAACATTACGCAATACTCTTAGCAGTCTAAGCAATCCTTTGTGAGATGCATCAATGTGCTACTCGTTTTGCTCTCTTTCACTGCATGAATTACACTATTAAAATTCAGGAAGGTAATCTGTCACTTTGCACATTTTCTTTCATATTTTATGCACACAATGAAGAAAGGGAGGACTTGGCAGAGATGTACTAGCAGGTTTTAAGTCTTTGTTTTCTTCCATGGTTGCATTTTTCACATCGTGTGTCAACCTGTAGAAATGATGTAAATATTTGGAACGTTAAGGCAGCAGCTTTGTTTCCTACATTTTGCAGCATAGCGGTAAACGTTTGATACAGACACTATTGTTTCTTCATTTATCTCTGTCAGAAGTCGACACCTGTAAGATGATGTGGAGGTATAAAGTAGAGGAACTAGGTATTGAAATAGAGTAATCTAATCGGACACATTGAGAGAAAACTTTCAGCTACTCAGCACCAACCTGTTTGACATTATTTTGCTCAATGTAGTCTCTGGCATTGGTTCATAAGGGCACTACGATGCTCTTGCATGGTCTGCTAAGAGTCAGATGTAAGACGTGTCAGCATGTTGCAGACCAGCTGGATTTCACTGAGTGCAAAATGAATACAATACCGGTAATATACCTGCACAGAGTGATGAGAAGTCCACTTGCATGAAATCAAATGCTTGAGCAATTTAATCCAAATACAGTGAACAAGAAGCTTTGTGGATTCCTCAGTATGTCAAGCCAATTCTAATTAAAGTCAGTCATTTTCCCAAAATGCTAAATATCCAAAAATTCTCCTGTGTCAGCAAGAAAAGTTTTCCGCGTTTCTTTGTAGTTTATGATTTATTTATTTTTATTCTGACTTATATTAGTTTCACTACTTCATGACAATACAACCAACAAATAGAATGGCTGGCTTATTAATGTAGAGTCATCAGTATTAACCCGAGAGCATCTACAGCTCCAAAGAAAATCCCAGTTGGTCCGTCTATTGGCAGCAAGTAGAAGGTGCTACCTTAAAGTCTTTATGTGATTTTTCACACTTAAATATAATAGAAATCAAGTATATCCTCTGAAAATAACTCTGTGAGTCATGACTGTCTACAATGGGTGTAACACCCGAGTCCCACTGTCTGTGATGTTTTCAGAGTTTTCAGAGTTCTATCTTCAGTTTGTTTACATCGCCCGGACGGCCGGCTGACTCCTCCCCTTGTGTATAAAAGTTGTTTAATTGAGGGACTAGAGAAAAGAAGAATAACATACTGTACTCACTGCTTAACTGTGTTTCTAGATCACGCTCATTTCAGGTAAATTTACATGCAGTGTGAAGATACCAGCATAATAAAGATCGCTAGCATTAGCATGCTAACACAACAATGCAGCGCAAGTTGTTTTGGTTTCATGCTGGTGCTCAAGAGCGACATCTGCTGGATCAAAAAAATCACATAAAGCCTTTAATACCACAGTGTTTGGCATACTGATTAAACAACACATAAATTACCTAAAGCGTTTTATCACCTTTGCCACCATCCTCCCAATCTCCCCATTGCACATCAGACTGTTCAGACTAATTTTGTCCAAGTTCAGTCCAGAAAAGCACCCAGTGCAGTGTACACACAACGATGCACGGCTTCAAGTAGTAAAAAATGTTTTGAATATGTTTTTTGTCCCGACCCAGCTCTTAAGGCTCAACATCAACAACGGAAGCATACAGGTTTTTAAATGAATGGTGTAAAGTTCATTACAAAATACCAAACATAATACACCTGGGAGACTAGCCGGGTCTGCCCAGGTGTGGAGGGGCACCACCCACCAGCGACCTGCGAACACCCACACATACACACACAATATCAGGCTCTGCTGGTGGGAGGGCCGTCACAGTTTCATCTGTGTATTGATTGGGTAGAATTTCACGATGCATTCAGGACCACCTGTCTTTTATTAGAGTGACAACGTGTTAACACCGCACTGCGCTAAAGCTGTGAATGACTGGGTGCAGTGTTTGGGATTAAGTGAAACCTGAAGTGTAGGCGTCACAGTGGTGTAAGAGCAGTCTCTGGATGTGTGTAGATCTGATCAGTGTTGACAGTGAGAGCCAGAGGTCGGTGGGGGGGGGGGTGGGGGGGTTCAAGATACCAGAACTCGCTGTGAGTCTTTTGTGGGCGTCATGCATCTTAATTCAAACCAACATGTGTAGCAAGCTGCCCACTTCATAATCACAAATACATGCCCACCCACGCTTCCCCCTCCAACATCAAAGCTCTCACGTTGGTGCCCGTGCTAGATTAGATTCTGGATCGGTATCCCAGTTTGGTGTAAATCCGATCCTCACAGCATTCTCCAAACTTTTTGAGCCCACAGACAACACAGACGGAGAGAAGAAGTTTTTTTATTTGATTTCCTTTCAGCAGCAATTTGCATCAAATCGTTTTTTCTGCCTTCTCCTGTGCGTGTGCAAGCGAGCTGACTGCTGTGTCTGGCTTCAACCGTAGATTTAAATTGTCAGATTTTATTTGCTGTCGCACGTAAAGTCGACAGCGGGAGTCACCGCGGGAATATATATATAGCTGTGTTTTTGGCCGTGGATGGAAATGGTAATGGGGAATCTGTAACTTACTTCACAGTATCTCACAGAGTCGTCTGATTGCCTATTTGCCTTTTTTTTTTTCCTCCCCTTGATTTTGAGCTGTCTGTTCTTTTTTGTTTTTTTGATTCAGTTTGAAGGAGATATTTGTTTTCTTGGAACAATCTGATAAACAGCAGTTCTCTTCTTCCTTTCAGTTTTTTTCAGAGCAGCTCTCATCTCTTTCCCTCTTTTGACGACGGCCAAGCTTTTGTAGAGCTTTCATTCCTGATTGGCCGGAGATGGCTTTTAGTAAACGATTCTCCTTCTTGAACTGCGAGAAACAGAGCCAAACTCGCACATCAGACGTGATGCCCCCCCCCCGTTTTTTTGTTTTTTTGTGCCTTTTAATAGAGAGATAGGACAGTGGATAGAGTTGGAAATTAGAGGACCACAGCCTCCATACATGGGGCGCGCGCACTAACCATTGCACCACCAGCGCCCCTTGATGCCCCCCATTTGAAAGTAGTGAAGGACATGTGATCTGTTTTTTTTTCCATGCTCTTGCTTTCATTATTTGGATCCTTTTGAGTTTGTGCGTTGAGATGCTCCTACAGTATGCCTTCGCAGCCGTCCTCCTTTTGTGGATGCTTTTAGCAGCGTCTTTGTTTTGTCTACATTCAGGCTTCCACTTTTAGTTCAACACTGGAAATTCTTCTGCTACACTGGCTCTCTTCCTCCCCCCCCCGCCCCCTCTCACATAGACATGCACACAAATACAATCCACCCTCGTTACCTCGACGTTTGTTAACTTGAATTATGAAAAACAGCAGTGTGACTGCTCCGTAGTTCTTCAGGAACTGGACTGAATATAGACCAGAAAAGGACTTCAAGGAGTATGAAATCCAGGCCAAGTGTCCCCTAAAAATATCCTCCATATTGTTTACAAGTCAGACATGGTGGTGACCTGCCAAAAAGACTCCACTTCTCATGCTCAGTGCGGAGCCAACTCCTGTTTTATACGAGCGGCCCATTTAGTCTGGGGTGGAGGTTGTGTGGGTTTCCCTGTATACTCTGCGGCCAATGGGAACTTTGTGGTTGTGTGGATATAGAGTCGATAACGTTCGATGAGTGACCTTTAACCAGAAGGTCTCTTATTTTTTGCAGAGAAGTTGCCGGACCAGAGTTGCTGCACCAGAAAAGGACTTCAAGGAGTATGAAAT